AAAAAACAACTTGTTTCTCAATTTTTTTTATACATAAAACAACACTAAAAATTTTACTAATCCAAAAAATAAAAATACCAAATTTTCTTTACATTTACAATTAACGAATAATAACTTCAATATTCTATATTTCCATCCAGCCACGTCGTTTGAAAACGCACATTACCGAGACCACCGTGAAAAAGGGAAGGATGTTACAGTTTTTAGATCCGAAAAGCCCAGGGAGAGCCAGCGATTACCCAAACAACGTCCCCAACACGAAGAAAAACACGGGAATATCCATACCATGTGCTCGGAAAAAAGAAGCTATCCAGCAAGAGTGTAACACAAAGTACTATAGTTCGTAGCGTTACTCGGTTCGCCAGCGGCGTACACACAGAGAAAAGGCGAGGGTAGCGTAAAAATAAAATGGTCCACGTAGGACCATGGATCATTATGTGTACCAGTGAGAGAGAGGTACCTACATAAAGTCTGTCCGAAAAACAATTATCAAGAGCGAGCGTGGAACCATAATAATTTGCGAGAAGTATCGTCGTCGGTGTAATGCGTGGCGTCGTTTTCTTCGAAAGACGAAAACGAGCAGCCCGAGGGCGAGCGTGCAACGACGCCGCCCGATACACTGGGTGGTAAGTCCATGGGTGCACCACGGTGCAATCAGTTGCAGCAACAAGCTCGACTGTGCAGTTGTGGTGGTGCACCGGGGCGGTATGGAGGGGCGAAAGTATGACGAGAAGAGCACAGCGGCGGACGAGAGGAGAAGGGGAGAAGGAGATTGTTAAGTTATGTTAGTCGATGCACGGGTTTGTTTGCGTAGTCGGTGACGGTGTATAGCGGCGAGCGGCAACCGGGAGAGGAGAACGACGGATGAAAAGAGAAGAAGAGGAAAGGGAGAAAGGCGAGGTTGCGACCAGGGGTGCCAGGGGGTCTGGCCCAAGCCTGTTTGTCGGTCCCGTTGCCCTATAATCGTGGTATACGGATAATGGTTTGGGTTAAGGGACGCCAGGATGAACCGAGCGAGAGGGGAAAGGCAAGAGGCAAGAGAGGGATGGACGTGTATAGAGAGGAGCCAGCAGCAGCAGCGGCGGCAGCGGCGTCGAGACAGGGCAGTTTCGGACGCCCTGCTTTTCAGAGACGAGAAGGACCAACCCGACCGACGCACAACCAATCGAGCGAAACTTTCGCTGGCTCGGCTCACTCGTCATTTGCCAAAGCTCTTCTTTCGATCTTGCTGCCTACCCACGGAGCCGAGCAATCATTTCTGACCCCGCGACGCGAGCTTGAAAATGTAATTACCGAGAAAGCCCACTGGAGAACGTACCGTCCGACGCTGAAACGCACCGTCGCGTATTTTGGACGGCTGTTGAAAAATTTAGCATCTCATTGACCGAATTCAATAAGGCTTTTAGAGTATTTGGAGGAAAGTTGTTTTTATCCTATGAAGAATTAAATGGTTGAGATATTTTGATGGTTTATTTGAAGGGTTACGAGGTAATGTAATATCTGTTTTAGTTGTAATGGAAATTGATTGGTTGAGATATTATGATGTTTGGCTTTAGAGTGTTAATTGATTTGTTCTGCAATAAATGGATAACAGGGTTTGTTTTTATTTTTTGCAGAAGTGTGTAAAGTTTGTTGTAACAAACGTAAGTTAGGCATGCGTTGCAGATAGACGCGTTTGATGAAGGATAACCGAGACGGCTAGTGCCTGCGGGGCACACTTCACCAGAAAGGGGTTAATAGAGTTTCTAGAATAATTTTGCTCAATTTCTTAGAGAGCAACAGCGGCCATAAAATATCATCCACAAAATTTATCGATCATGATGAACATAATATTTTCAGCGACCTAATATTGTAGTTGGAAAAGGCAACTCCAATAGATTCTTACGGAATAAATTACTTTTTACCTTAATATTTACTTGAGATAAAATACTTCTTTCGTTTATTAAATTTTTGTTATTCAACTTGTGAACTATTACAGGTCCTCAAACTTCCGAATAAAAGTAGCAACTCTTTCGTCTACTGTTATCTTAATATCACAGCTCACGATCTTTCCTACGAATCAAAACAACACCGTCCGACATTATTCCATCTCCAACAAAGAATCTCCAGAACGAAGACAGAACATCCTCCGAAAAGAATACCATCATCTCGATCATCTTGAAATCCGAAACACCTACGATTTGCATTCACACCGCAAAAAGGTGCTCGTGGAGCATCGTTCACCTGTAAAACAGTGAGTTGAATGCGTGTTTAACGCGCGCGGCACGCGAAAGAACGCACCGCGTGACAGAAGAAGGGTTAAGAGACAGAGAGAAAGAGAAGATTTAGTCGAAGTTCGATGTTTTCCTCATTCGACAAAGAGCGGCGA